AGAGCTAGTTCCAGGACAGCCAAGGCTACACAGAAAAACCCTGTCTCAAACAAACAAACAACAATAACAAAATGAGCCAAGTCTGGTGGCACAACAGCACCTGGGAGGCAGAGACAGGCAGATTCCTGTGACTTTAAGACCGGTCTACAGAGTGAGTTCCAGGCCAGGTTACACAGACTGTCTTAAAATCAAATCAAATCATAATGATAGATTAAATAAACACAGAGACATGACAGAGAAAACAAGTTTTTTGGTGGGCAGGGGATACCTTCTCTTTCAATTTCAAATAAATGAAGCAATTTTTAGATTCATCAAAATTAGGACAACTTCTCTTTCTAGGTCAAAGTTTCCTTTTATTCTTTTTGTTGTAACAAGAAAGCTATTTCAAAATATGAAGAGATGGACTGCCAAAGACTATTCTAAGCCACTTCACAACAAGACACTGTAGTTTTCTGCTGAAAGTGGAGGTTTTTGGAAGTGGTTCCTGAAAACACAGCCAAGCTCTACAAGCCTCCCCAGGTGACTTGTCATCAGGGAAAGGTGATCTTCCCTGGGACAAAAGTGGAAGGCCTCACATATGAACAATCATAACTTCATAAGGCTCAGCTGGGACCTAGAAACAAGGGGCTATCAAGCCAAACATCATGCACACAACTTCTGAACAGAAACTTTAGACAGGATCCTCATTCTGTTTTACATTCTCTTCATATGTACAGTTTATCTTCTGAAAAAAGTAATGTGAGAGTTAGATTGAATTATCAACTTGATAGACGCTAGAGTCAGTTGGGAAAGAAGCCTGTAAGTGTGCCTGTGAGAAAATATATGATGACATCACTTAAAATGGGAAGATACATCTTACTTACATGTGACCTTCCCTGGGCTGGGGATGCAGCATGGTGTGTGGAGAGGGAGCAGAGAAGCTGCCAGTGTTCATCTATCCCCTGCTTTCTGACTGTGTATACCATGTAAGCAGTTCAAGCAGGTCAAGCTTGACCTCCCTGACATGATGGACTTGTACACTGAACTACAAGTTAAAATAAACCCTTTCTCCCTGAAGGTACTTTGTCACGGTATTTTATCATAGCAACAGCAAAGGAAACTAGGACAAGACATGCAACACTCTGTAACTTAAAGTAGAAAAACAGCTGTCCAAATGTACTCCTGAATTAATTATGGTTATCAGAGCTTTAAAGCCCATTTTTCCAAGAATCTTCTCATTTACTGTTTTTAAGAAAAATAGGTTTGTCTCATTATAAAAAAAAAGAAATAAAATAAATAAAAAAAAACTACCACATGATCATTTCATCTCACTAGATGCTGAAAAAGCCTTCCACAAAATCCAACTCCCCTTCACAATAAAAGTAATGGAGAGATTAGGGATACAAGGGACAGACCTAAACATAATAAAGGCAATTTACACCAAGCTAACAGCCACCATCACATTAAACTGAGAGAAACTCAAAGCAATTCCACTACAATCAGGAACAAAACAAAGTTGTTCACTTTTTCCATATCTATTCAATACAGTACTCAAAGTTCTAACTGGAGCAATAAGACAACAAAAGGAGATCAAGGAGATACAAACTGGAAAGGAAGAAGGCAAAGTATCACTATTTCAGATGATATATTATACATAAGCAATCCCAAAATTCTACCAGGTAGCTCCTACAGCTGATAAACACCTTCGTCAAAGTGGCTGGGAAACAACACCCTTCACAATAGCCACAAATTATATAAAATATCTTGGCATAATTCTAACCAAGCAAGTGAAAGACCTGTATGATAAAAACTTCAAGTCTTTGAAGAAAGAAACTGGAGAAGATATCAGAAGATGGAAAGCTCTCCCATGCTCATGGATTGGTAGGGTTGACATGGTAAAAATGGACATCCTACCAAAAGCAATCTACAGATTCAACACAATTTCCCTAAAAATCCTAACATAATTCTTTACAGAGCTTGAAAAAACAATACTCAACTTCACATGGAAAAACAAAAAATTCAGGATAGCCACACAATTCTATACAATAAAAGAACTTGATGGTTGATGGTGGCACATGCCTTAAATCTTAGTGCTCAGGAGGCAGAGGCAGGTGATCTCTGTGAGTTTGAGGCCAGTCTGGTCAGGACAAGCAGAGTTATTACACAGAGAAACCCTGTCTCGAAAATCAAAACAAAATAACAACAAAAAAAGAGAGTAGTCAGGGTTCTTAACTACTGAGCCATTTTTCCAGCCCACACTCTTGTTTTCTTTTTGAGACAGGGCTTCACTATGTAGCTCAGCTGGTGAAACTCGCCTGACTGTTGCTCCTGAGTGCAGGGATAGCAGTAGTGGCCATTATACTCAGCTCCTGAACTTCTTGGTTCACACATAATCTTCTAAAAAAGATGTCTGATAAAACTCAAACCATTATTTTATTTTACTTTTAAGTGTGTGTGTGTGCGTGTGTATGTGTAAGTGCATGGTACCCACAGACACCAGAGTCTTTGGGTTTCCCTGGAGTTGGAGTTGCAAGTAGTTGTAAGCCACCCATTATGAGTGCTGGGAATCAAATTTAAGTCCTCTGCAAGAAACTATATGTTGTTCTTAACTACTGAGCCATTTCTCCAGCTCTAAAACCATTTTGAACAGATGTGTTCAAATCATCAAGGTTGTAGAATTGACTCAGAAGTTACAAGCATTTGCTACTCTTGCAGAGGACCCAGTTTGGTTCTAAACATTCATAGGCTGGCTCACAACTGTCTATTACTCCAATTCCAGGGAATCCAACAACCTCTTCAGGCCTCAGCAGGCTTAGCACACAGACATATGCACGCAAACATTCACACACATAAAATTAAATATTGAATTAATTTAAAAATTGAAAACAAAACAAACCAGAAGTACTTAAAAATCCAAAACTGATATAATGTCTTATTTTATACTAGCAATGAGTCTATTAAAAATAAAGGGAAACCAAGACTGTTCTCTCATTTCCACTCTTGCTACTGGCCATTCTTGTCATGGCAAAAAAACAAATAAAAGAAGAGATGAGTTTATCCTTACATGGAGACAATGTGATTACACATTAGCACAATCCAAGGAAAATCAGTCATAACAATAGGTAATTAAAACTTCACAAAATAAAATAAAATAAAAGATAAATATAAATTCTCAAAAGTCAAATGCATTCTCATGTAGTAATAATAACTAGAAAATACAGTTTTTAAAAGGCATTCATTTTGCAATAGTAGTGAAGAGTATTAAACAACTAGCAATTAATCTATCAAAAGACATATATAAGTGATATGAAGAAAAAAATGACCAGACACTACTGGGAAAACAAAAGATTGATGGAAACATTCATGTTCTTAAAAGAAAGGTCTAGTTATATATTATTATACAAGTTAACAAAATTCTAATAAAAATACTACAAGAATATTTTCTAAAACTTGACAAAAATGCCTCTATAATTCAGCTGAGGGCCAGGTGAGATGGGTCAGCAGAGAAGGCATTTGCTGTCATGCCTGAGGACTTTGTGTGATCCCAGGAAACTACAAGTGAAAGGAGAAAGGAAAAACACTTCCTGCAAGTTGTTCTGTGACTTCTGCATGTGTATGTGCAAATGCACACACACATAAACTGTAATAAAACTGTTCAAATTTATGTAATAATAATCAGAGAAAAATTTGAGGAGCTAGAGGAAGGAAAGGGATGGGAGAAAACAATGTAATTCTATTTTAATTAAAAATTTAAAGAAACTCAAATCCAAAGTAAAATTCAGTTGACAAAAGCATAAGATGAAGGTACTAAGTAACACCAGAGCAGCACCTAGTGACACAGGTCCGCAGGACAGCATTAGCCTGGCATGCAAGAGGCTCTAGGTTTAAGCCCCAAAACCACCCTCCCGTAATGATAAATTTAAATGTTATAGTACTCATACTCAAAAAAGAAAACTCTAGCACCTAACATACAATGTCCAATATATAAGGAGAGAAGCATAACAACATAGGTATAGAAGTCATTCTATAACAATTGTTATGAGGACACCAAGTCAGGACTGTTCTCCAGATAAACAATGGGGAAGCTATGGCTCAGGTCAAATCCGAGCTGAGGCCTGTTTTGTAAATTTTGTTTTACATGCTCACATATTACCTATGGCTGTTTCTGTACTGCACAGGAGAGTAACTGCAGAAACCGCCAGTCATGCAAAGCCTAAAAAATTCACTATCTGGTTCTTTGAGAAATGGCTCGTTGGTCATTGTCCTAGATTATTGCTAGATAAAACAAACAAATAAAATATATATAAAGTATACCCATTCAAACTTTTATGGCTCTGAAAAAAAACTTTTTAATATGACAGTTATCCTAATGGATATGAGCCTTTCTTTTATCCTGATTTTTATTTGCATTTCTCTAACAATTTATGAAAATGAGCATGTTTTTCATGTGTTTACTGGCCACTCACTGTGTATCCTCTCTAGAAAACCCTTTGCCCATTCTATACTTTGTTTTGGTGTTAGAAGCAAACTTGGGGTCTTTTAAAGGGTGCAAGCATTAAGTTAAATTCTCAACTCATCTATGTACTTTCAGACTGGTGTTTGTAGTTTGTTGAGCTATATTCCGGTATATAGAATTTGTTCATACTGTCTGAAGATGATTTTAGTGTGAATCTTTTAACTGGATGTGAGACTGTTTGGTAGGGTGTAGACTCAACACAGTGGAGATCCTCAAGAGCATAGGGCCCACCACTTGTTCAGGGCACCCCAGCTGGGCACTTCTGATCCCAAAGTCACCAAACATAAGCAGCTTCTCAGCTACCATGTCTTTAAATTAGTCTGCATTAAACTTGGTGACGTCTCACTTCTTTGCAATGCGGATCTGGTGGCCAGGTAACTTGAACCAGGTCTCAATCACATGATCAACATGACTCCTGGCCACTGTGCCCAAAGGCAACCTGCACACATATCTGAAGCATAGGTCAGAGACAGAAACAGAGCAGACACATGAATATCCACCAGAGGACTGTCCCCAGGGTTCCTTGGGACAACACATACAGCAACAGGCTGCCCACACAACAAGAAGGGGCAGCACCTTGGAGCCACTGCACTCTGGGATCTCATGAAGAACCTGACCAGCTTAACTGGTAGTACTGAGGGTTAATTCTTTATATTTACAGTACAAATCACCAGCAGCCATCTGGTCCTGAGATTTTTCTGTGTCTAAGACCATTCCTGATTAAGGTATCCAATCTACTTACTAATTCTGAATCTGTTCAGTTTTTTCTTTTCCCATGACCCAGTAGTTATACATTTCTTGAACTCAGACATTTGATCTACATTATCAAGTATCACAACTTTTCTGTTGTTCAGAATACTGAAACCGGGTAATTTATAAAGGAACAGTCGACTTCAGCTTACAATTATAACAAGCAGGAAGTCAAACAACACAGAGCCAGTGTCTGTCAATTTCTGGTGGGCCCCTCGAGATGGAAAAGGGGTCATGCAGAAAAAAGAAAATGAGACAGACATATTCCCATGAGAAGACATTCATGAATCATGAGATTTCTCTTGCCATGATTCTAATACTTCCCAGCAGGCCCCACCTCTCAACAATCATAATGAGGAATTAAAAGTGCCTACAACCAAGCCCGTTCTTAAAAAGTTTTTCTGCACATGAATATTTTGTCTGCATGTATGTCTGTGTACCATGTGCATGTCTGGTGCCCAAAGAAGCCAGAAAAGGGCAGCAGATCCTCTGGAACTAGGGTTGCAGGTTGTTGTGATTCCATGTGAGTGCTGAGAACTAACCTGGGCCATGGAGAGGCAGTCAGTGCTCTTAACCACAGAGCCATCTCTCCAGTCCCCATGTGAACTCTTCCAGGGACATACTCAAATCATGGTTGTCAACATATGATTGTTCATAGCATTTTCTTTCTTTTTTTTCAAGACAGGATTCCTCTGTGGTTTTGGAAGCTGTCCTGGAACTAGCTCTTGTAGACCAGCCTGGCCTTGAACTCACAGAGATCCCCCTGCCTCTGCATCCCGAGTGCTGCGATTAAAGGCGTGCACTGCCAGTGCCACCGCCCAGCTCATAGCATTTTCATGAAAAGTGTTCTATTCCTTTACGTCCCACCTTATACTGGGAACAGAACCTAGGCATTGCCACTGCACTACAACTATCCTTTACACTTTTTATCTTGAGACAGGTCCTATTAAGCTATTCAGGGTTATCTTAAGCTTACTCTGTAGTCCAGGTTGGCCTTGAACTTAATTTTCCTGCATCAGTCTCCTGAGAAGGTGAAGTTATAGGCCTATACTACCAGACCAGGGTAAAATCCTTGTATTTCTATAGTCAGTTGTAACAGTCCTTCTTTCATTCCTTACTTAATGGAATCTCCTTTCTTTCTGTGGGGTCTGAATGAGAATGGCCCCCATAGGCTCAGATATTTGAATCTTGGTTTGAGAAGAATTGGAGGTGTGGCCTTGTTAAAAGCGGTATGGCTTTGTTAGAGATGTGTCACTGGGGGGCTTTGAGATTTCAAAAGCCCATATCATTGCCCCTCCCTCTCTCTCTCCCTCCCTTCCTCTCTCTGCCTCCAATTTGCAGATCAGATGTAAGCTCTCAGCTACTGCTCCAGCACCATGACTGCCTGACTACCTGCTGCCATGCTTCCTTCCATGACAGTCATGCACTCTACTACCCTCTGTGACCATGAACCCCCAAATTAAATGTTTTCTTTCATAAGCTGCCTTGGTCATGATGCCTTGTCAAAGCAATAGAAAAGTTAACTAAGGCACTTTTCTTGTTCATCTAGCTAAAAGACTGTCAATTTAAAAATCTTTTCGGGGGCCAATGAAGATGGCTCAGTGATTAACGGTACTTGTCACCAAGTCTGATGATCTTTGTTACATTCTGAGAAAACACGGAAGGAAAGAAAGACTTCCTCAAGTTGTCCTCTGACTTCCACATCTTCAAAGAACCAACTCTTGATTGTGTTTATTTCTTAATTGCTTTCTTTTTTATTTCATTGGTCTCTGTTGTGATCTTTATTACTTCCTTCCTTCTGCCAGTTATAGATTTAGATGCTAGAACTACAGGTGTGTGCCACCATACCTGGCTTCATGGTTTTGTATTTTGTTTGTTCTATGAGGACTTTAGAATCAATGTCTAGCACCAGAAAAAAACACTTTGCTATCTTTACTGAGAATACATTAAATTTGTGTTAACTTATGCAGATCCAAAGATATAGAATGTTAAGTTATTCAATCCTGGGAAGAGAACTTTGCATTTCATTAAGTCAACTTTTGTAACATTTTGCAGTGTCTTAAAGATTTCACCATTTATGTTTTAAAATTCCAAAACATTTTAATCTTTTTGTTTTTACTCTGAGACTATTCCTTCCTTATATGGTCTAACTTATTTGTTAAACAATTGGTTTTGCATATCAGCTGTATACTGTCATCTTATTAAATTCTCTCTACTGTTATCTTACTAAATTCTCTCTCTCTTTCCTCTGTGTATGCTGTTTTAGAGAGTCTCATATAGTCCAGATTGACCTCAAACTTAACATGTAGCTATGATGGACCTTGAATCCAATTCTTAGGCAGCCACATCCAAGTGCTGGGATTATAGGCATGTACCATCAGTTCATGTTAAGTTCTTTTTAAATTTAGTTATTTTGATTGTTATTTATGTGTTCTAGACACATTCTATTATCATGTGCACGTAAGGACAGTGATACTTTTTTTAATTTCCCAAATTTTGTGCCTCTGAATAATTTCTCTTACCTGATTTCATGTCTTAAGCCACCAATACAATATTAAATGACTAGAGTTGGTAAGGGATTGAGATCAGGAATTCAAGGCAAGTCTCGGCTATATAAAGAGTTCAGAGTCAATCTGGGGTATATGAGATCCTGTCTCAGAAAACTAAAAGTGTTGATATGATGGCTAACGCCTTAGGCAGCTAAATCAGGAATATTGCTGTGAGTTTAAGGCCTGCTTTGGCTACACAGTGAGCTCTAGGTAGTCTGGACTATCACATCAGACTCTGTCTTTAACAGAGGGAGAGAAGGAAGGAAGGAGGGAGGGAAGGAGGGAGAGAGGGAGGAAAGGAGGGGAGTACAAAGAGTGCTTTGAACATTTATGGTAAAAAAAAAAGCACTCCATGCTGGGCATTGGTGGCCCTTGCCTTTGATCCCAGCACTCAGGAGGCAGAGGCAGATGGATTTCTGAGAGTTTGAGTCCAGTCTGGTCTACAGAGCTAGTTCTAGGACAGGCTCCAAAGCAATACAGAGAAACCCTGTCTCAAAAAACTAGAAAAACAAAACAAAAAAACCACTCCAGTTTCTCACAGACAACCTCAAGCACAGATCAGCTTCTAGCTTCTCTTATTCTACACTCTTGTCCTGACAGTGAACACTGCAAGCCAGTTCAACAGTGAGAACAACCTAGGCTAACACTCATTCATAGAGGTAGGTTCTCAAATTCTAAATGACAGCAGACAAAACCCAGCTATATATAAAACCATGGCCATATTCTACAGTCTCAGGAATGCTAGGCTGGTTCAGCATTAGAAAATCAACTCAGAGGCGGGCATTGGTGGCACACACCTTTGATCCCAGCACTTTGGGAGGCAGACAGATCTCTTTGAGTTCGAGACCGGCCTGGTCTACAAGAGCTAGTTCAGGACATCCTCCAAAGCCACAGAGAAACCCTGTCTCGAAAAACAAAAAAAAAAAAAAAAAAAAAAAAAAAAAAAAAAGAAAGAAAGAAAGAAAGAAAATCAATTAAGATAACTTACCACAATATTAGAGTATAGCAAAACAAAAACAAAACAAACCACACTTACTTCCTCAAGATCCACAGAATAAACTCATGACAAAAGACTATTCACAATGAATGATGAAAACAAACGAATGAATGGAAGGGAATGTTCCTATCCTGACAGAAGGAATATACCTTAAAATAAACCAAATCTACAATAAACTTAGGTTTGTTTTCAGACCAGAAACAGTAAAAATGCCCACTATCACCACGCTTATATGACAGGCATTACAACTTGTAGTAATTTGGTACAGTAGCTATTTACAAAAACTGCTAGAAAATATTAGCACAAGAACATCCTATTTTTATGTGACACTTATGGACAACTACAAAATAAAAAACAGAAAACTTACATACAGTGACATCGATATTTAAGCACCCTCCAACAATATCCAAATTCTGTATATGTGTGTATGTACATACATGTACATATATGTGTACATACACATATATACAGAGAGAACTATTAAGTCATTTAAAAAATTAAAGAATAAACATATAAGCCACATTCATGACAGGAAGGCAATATTCTCAAGATGCCACGTCTTCCCCAACTGATTTATGACAAAATTCCAATCAAAATTCTCACTGTGTACATGTGTGCACACTGGGATACATCAATGTGGCATGTGTGTGGAGGTCAGAGGACAATGTTCAGTTTTTTGGCTCCTAGTGTATCTGCCCCCCTTGAAACGGGTTTCTCCACCACTGTGTAAGCTAGGCTGACAAGCTTCTAGACTCTCCTGCCTCCACCTCCCACTTCCCATCACTGCACTGGGGTTAGAGACACCTGCATTTCTGCAGCTAGCTAGCTTCAAGGGCCTAGGAACCCCAACTCCTGTTGTCAGGCTTATGGAATGATGGCAAGCCCTTGTTCCACCCCTACCCTGGGTCTAATACTTTAATAGAGATGTAAAGTAGCAAAGTAGCTAATATACTCCTGGAAAACAATACAAGATGAGGAGATCTGCTCTGCAGGATACAGAAAGACCTAAAAACTTTAGCTACATGATGGAACTCTGACTCAAAAAAAAAAAAAAAAAAAAAAAAAAAGCATAAACTCATACAATGCTGAGCACTAGGTAAGAACAGTCATTGTGACAAACTTGTATTGGGACCTAGAACTCCTTCAGGCCGAAGCAGGTGTAGCTCCTTGGGGAAAATGCTTGCCCAGCATGCACAAAGCCCTGTGTTCAATTCACCATTGAATGGAGTGCATACCTGCAACCCCAAGACTTAGAAAGTAGAGGCAGGAAGATAAAGTTCAGTTACTCTCCACTACCTGATTAGTTTGAGGACAGCCTAGGACACTGTTTGCCATGTACTCCCACACACACTAATTAAATCTTAAAAATTTGTAAAACTTACCCAAATGAAAGAAAGAATAAAATGACCTAAGTGTAAAAGACAAAATAATAGTCTCTAGGATATAATAACAAAAATAACTTTAAAACCGCCTAGAGAGTTATTAAACAAAGTAACAAAGGCACCATGGAAGCTGGGCATGGCAGCACATTCCTGTAATTCCAGCATTTAGGAGGCTGAGGCAGGAAGATTGCTGATAATGAATTATAAGCCAGCCTGACCTATGGAAAGGGACCTTTCTCAAAAAAGAAAAAGAAAAAAAAAAAAAAAGAGCTGGGAGGAAGTTCTGTTTTTTGCCTCAACAATTGTACCCTCATAGAGTACTCAATATGTTTTCTTTTTAAAACAACAACAAAGCCAGGAGGTGGTGGCACACACCTTTGATCCCAGCACTTGGGAGGCCGGGCAGGAGTATCTCTGTGAGATCGAGGCCAGGCTGGTCTACAGAGCTAGTTCCAGGACAGTCTCCAAAGCCACAAAGAAACCTTGTCCCCCCGCCCTCCCCAAAAGAGCAGGGCATGGTGGTGGTGTATACCTATACTCCCTGTATTTGCAATGGTCAAGGCTATCTTTGGTTACATGAGACCCTGCCCCCTCCCCAAATACACACACACACACACACACACACACACACACACACACACACACACACGCATTAGCAAGGGTGTAGGGCAATGTGCAATCAGCACAGCTGTAGAGGATTAACCATTTAAAAACTAGCATTCTACAGTAAAATAAAAGTATGTATTCTCTTGACCCAACCACTTGCTCTTCAATACACACTTGCTAGCAAGAGGAGTTGGACCAAACAGTGACTTAGTCACCAATGGTCAATGATATAATCAATCACACCTAGGCAATAAAGCCTACACAAAACCTGAAAAGGCAGGCTTCTAAGAACTCTTGTGGTAGGGTATAGAGACCCAACCCCTTCCCACATACCTTCCATTATTTCTTTCACTTTCCAGAAGTACAGCCTTTTAAAAACAAACTATAACCTAGCCAGTAGACTATTTTCCTTGAGGTCTGTGAGCTGTCTTAGCAAATTACTGAAACTCAACTCAACCCAAACCCATCCCCTATCCCACTCCCATGTGATCGTGCAGGCAGACAGACAGACAGACACACACACACACCTTATCATGAAAATCTGATTTGCAGCCAGGTTAGACAAAAGTTGTACATAATACTGGGGTCCCCTAATTATGGTTAGAGTCTGAAGCTGAGAAAAGAAAGGTGGGGGCCAGGCGTGGTGGTACACAACTACAACCCCAGTGGGCAAGAAACTGAGGCAGTAGGGTCACTGAGTATATGAGGGCAGCCTGACCTAGACAGCAAGACAGAAATGAAGTATTACATGGGAATGGAGGGGAAATGAGGTTTCCTTCACAGTGGTATACACAATGATATATTATTACTTAGCCTTTTAAAAGGCAATCCTACAACCCAGGTGTACTTTGAAAACATTCTAAACAAAATTGCCAGTTACAGAGGGACAAATATTACATAATTCCACTTACAGTAGGGCAAAATTGCCATGTGTAGGGAAATGAGCAAATTCAATTTAATTAGCTCTATGCCTGAAAGATGAGGATCTCTGGAGAGCAGCAGTACAACACTCTGTCCACACTGTATTATTCACCTAAAGAAATCTCACAGCATGCAACAGGTCAGGACCAGCCTGGGCTATACAGTGAGGCACTGTCTCAAAATCAACAGTGAAACAAATCCATTCAGAGATTTCAGGTGTTCTTATCACAATAAAGTAAAAATAAAACAACTGGTATAATCACATAACACAACATTTTAATTTATTAATAAAAAATTTTTTTATTGTTTTTTCCGAGACAGGGTTTGTCTTCTGTAGATCTGGCTGTCCTGGAACTCCTGCTCTGTAGACCAGACTGGCCTTGAACTCACAGAGGCCCATCTGCCTCTGCCTTCCAAGTGCTGGGATCAAAGGTGTGTGCCACCACTGCCTGGCCAAATAATGTGATTTCTGAGACATATCTTATTATGTTGTTGTTGTATTCACAAGTGCATGAATGTAAGTTCAAGTGTGGAGGCCAGAAGCCTACATTAGCTGTCTTTTCACTGAACCTGGAACACACCAATTTGACTAGTGTGGCTGGCCAACAAGCTCCTCTCTGTGCTAAGATTGCAGGTTTGTGCCACTGGAACTGGCTTTAGAATGTGGGTTCTGGGGAGCTTGATCCTAGTCTTTATGCTTGTGTAGTAAGCACTTTACCATAGAACCATCACTCGCACCCAGATTGTCTTAGAAACATCAACTGCTAGAGTGTAGCTCAGCAGTGATCAAACACTTGTCCAACATGTCCCAGTCCCTAGGTTCAACTCCTAGAACACACAAAGCAAGAAAAGAAAGACAATTAACAGCAGATATTAATAAAACACACAAAGAGCTGGTCATTTAACATACAACTATAATCCCAGTACTCAGGAGGCAGAGACAAGGACAGCTAGCTCATGGCCAGCCTGAGCTATATAACAAGACCTTGCCTCAAAAACCAAGAGCTGGTAGTTTAGCTTCATCGTTAGTCTTTGCTACATAGCATACTCAATTAAATATATCTGAACCACTCAACTATGAGTACATTATAATCACAGTTACTTCAGAAAATCTATATAGTTTAATGCGGTGGGAACAGGAGTGTTGTGTATCTGAGGATGGCGCCGGGAGCTGTCAGGTGGGAGACCGGTTCATCTCAGCCATCAAGTGACCTATGGACAGGTTGGGGAAGTAGGAAAGCCTGTGGCAGTAGGATTCGCTTCTGCGCTGGGCAGGTCTTATTCAAATTTTATCTCTAGCATTCAGGCCCACAAGCCCTTTCGGCAAACGAGGTCTGATCTTCCGATGTCTAACACCAGAGCAATACAATTTCACCTCCTCTAGAGTCTCGGAAGCATGTGTTGATGAGGAGCCTTACACAAACTCCGGGAAGCAGATGAGATCATTTCTCGCGTGTGACAGACAAAAAGAGCGATCCTGGGCCTTAAGGAATGTGTGGACAAGACTCAAGCCTCAGCCGCCTGACATGGCCTTTTCTGGGGCTCCGGGTCTCTTCTCTCCCCTGGGCTTCTCTCTACAAGCAAGGCTACGGAGAACTGGGTTGGACGACTAGGGGAAAGGCCGAGGCCTCGGGACCGGGGAAAGCCGGTTACCCGGCGGAGTCGCGGCAGCCGGGAATTCGTGGAACTCACCTCACTCAAGTTCACGCCGCGCCAGGCAGAACCATTATCCAAACTCCGCGCGCTGACAAGGCCCTCCGGCGTCCCGCTCTGCTCGCTTCGCGCGCCGCAAGAAGGATGGTTCTGATTGGATGAGCTCTAAAGGAACTAGCCAATACCGTAGCCTATGGCACTTGGCCCCGCCCCTAGCTCGGGCGGAATCACCAGAGCACATACTTCCAAAGCCCAATCAGAATTCAGCCGGTGTGTCAAGTGACTATGGCAAAACCACCCGGCTTCCGGCGCTAGGCTTTGTTTTTGTGTTTGTTTGTTTTCTAGTGTGGGGAAAAGGCACCTGAAGCCCACCTCTGACATGATAGAAACTTGCTGGTGTTTGGAGGCAGCTGAGACTTCCCAGTTCCCATAAGCCAGGCAATGTCTGTGTTCCTCCTCTGCTCTTGTGAGATTCAAGCGGTTTTCCACTGATGACTGTCACTAATGCCGAACTGGGGTCGCAAACCTCAGATGCTTCAGGGGCTATGCACTGTGCCTGGGTATGAAACTTCAGTTCTAGCGGGTAGTTGCCACTAAGCATGAGCCCTTTGGGGCTGGAGGGATGGCTGAGCGGACTGATCTTCCAGATTTTCTAGAGGACTGGGGTTCAATTGTGACTGGTGCTAGATCCAGTTTGTTACTGCAAAATAAGGAGACCGAATGAAGAGCTACCTCCAGCTTAAACGCACAACTTTCCTATCATATACATGTATTCCCCAACTCAATCTGGACTACCACAAAGACAAGCAGAAAGCGCATTTTCTTTGGCATTCCAGTTCAAACCAGAAGAACAACCACAAACTGTCCAAGGTCTACCAGTGGATGAAACAACAATCTTTTTTTAAGCAGTGTCTCACTATGTAGCCCTGGCTGGCCTGGAACTTGTTTATGGTAAACTAGGCTGGCCTCAGAATCAGAAATCTGCCTTGCCTCAGCCCCCTGAGTGCTGGGATCAAAGGCTACCACACCCAGCCTCTGCCGGTCTTTAAATATTGCACAAACAAAGCTGTTGTTTCGAAACAAAACTCGGTCTTACAATATTACCCTAGAGGCCCTTCTTTGTGATAAACTAAGAAGTAATTTGGTTTTGTTTTGGCAGCAGTGGAGAGTGAACCAAACGCCTGCTGTCTGTTAGACAGATGCTCTGCCAGCGGGTGAGCTACATCCACAACCCCTTTCCCCCCAGTTTTGACACATTCTTATTACAATTATTTATGTATATGTATATGTTTGGGAGCATGTGCATAGCACATCAAGCTTATAGAGGTCAGAGGACAACTTAAGAGAGTTGGTTCTCTTCTGCTACTATGTGGGACCCAGGGATCAAACTCAGGTCATCAGGTTTGGTAGCAAGTGCCTATGTCTGCTGAACTATCTCTTTTTGAGAGCCTCATGTAGCCCAGGCTGGCCTACAACTGCTGATCCTTTATTGACTTGACTGCTAGGATTATAGACACGTGCCACTACACTCACCTCCCAACCCTTTTCATTTTTGTTTGTTTCAGACAGGGTCTCACTAAGTTGCCCAAACTACCCTTGAACTCAGGCATGACTTGAAAATTCTTTCAGGTTTTTGTTATTGCTATTGTTCTTACTTTTCTTTTCTTTTTTTTTTTTTTTGAGACAGGGTTTCTCTGTATAACCTTGATTGTCCTGAACCTATGTAGAGCAGGCTGGCCTTGCACTCAGACATCCTCCTTCCTCTGCTTCCCAAGAGCTGGGATTAAAGGTGTGTGCCACCAAGGCCCAGCTATATGTTGAAATTTCAATGCCCTTGCCTTCTAAGAAGCAGGCCTGATCACCAGGCCCCAATAATGAGCAGTTCTTCAATACCAAAATGAAAACAGAGAGAGAGAGAGAATACAGACAAGAAGAAATGAATACTGATGCTCACAACCTCAAAAGAGAACTCAGCTGGAATTCCTTCATTTTGAATTCTCTTGTATGTTTATCTTCACTGCTCTTCAACTCTGCCCCGAGACAAGCCACTGTGTTAGATAGGCCTGGAATAAATCCCACTCAGAGGATGCTCTGTCTATGGAGGAGGAGGCATAAATTAATATTCCCAGTAGCAGTACAAGCTGCCTGTAGTGGTGTGTGCTTGTAACTGAAACACTAGGGCTGTTTCATAGGAGAGATTCATGTGCAGTTGTGGAGGGCCAGGGGAGACTGCAGTGAAGGTATACCAAGAACGGAGGGTAAGGCCAGGAAAATGGGAGGGAGACAGCTCAGTGGTAGAGCATAAGCTCAGCATGAATGAGGCTCTGGATTCCAATCTCCCAATGGAGTCCCCCCCACCCCCACCCAGTCAAAAAACTCAGTAAACTAGAAAGTCTACAAGGCACCTTTGATAAAATGCAAGAAAATGGAGGTTAGTGATAAGTGACAAATGGAAGGAAAGGGACCTTATCTGAGTCTGGATTCTATCTTGAGTTAAGTGGACATTGTTAGGAGGACTTCAGAGGAGAGTGGGTGCTAAGAGGCTTGCCTGGAAATCACATGTGCCTTGGAGAGAGAATCAAGACAGAGTTTTTGTCTACATGTTCTGTGGTCTCAACCAACCTTTAGTTACTTAATTAATTTTGGTTTTTGAAGACAGGGTTTCTCTGTGTAGTCCTGTCTGTCCTGGAACTCACTCTGTAAATGAGGCTGAACTTGAACTCACAGAGACCATCTGCTTCTGCCTCCCAAGTGCTGGGATTGCATTTTGTTTTTTGGAGGAGGGGGTTGTCTATGTGGTCCTAGCTGGCCTTGAACTCACAGAGATATGCCTGCCTCTGTCTCCTAGGTCCTGCGACTGAAGGTGTACACCACCATGATCAAATTGAATTTTCATTTTATGTTTTTTAACGGCCATTTACAGCTGGATATGGTGGATCATAGTTGTTCTCCCAGAATTTGAGAGTCTGAGGCAGGAGAATTGCCACAAGTTTGAGACCCTCTTGGATCATAGAATGAGACCATGTTACAAAACAAAGCAAAAACAACAAAGTCTCCACCCCTCCACATTGTTTCAGGTATTGTAATTTAGAGATGATTTAAATTATACTGTAGGGATGGGGATGTTGCACAATGGAAAAGAGCACTTGCCTAGAATGCTTAAAAGCCCCTGTTTTAGCTGGACAAAACAGCCCTACAGACTACAGCCAGGATATCTGAATCTTCTTCGAATCCCCCCAAGACAGCGCCCCTTACCAGCAGGAAGTAGTTTGGAAAGAACGACGCCCAAATTCCCAAATATTGTGTATAAATGTTTGTTTTCATTTAATTGGACTTTGTTATATAAAATTAAAAAAATTTTTTTTAAAAAGCCCCTGTTTTGCAGGGGGTGGAGGGTGGGGAAAGGGAGATCACACCCAAATTTTATATTCTAAGAAGATAAATTAATATCTGGCAAAGAAACAAATGCTGTGGGGAATTTAGGCAAGTCATCATTTTTAAAGAGAAAGCTAGGGCTGGTGCTCAGTTGGTAAAGCCTGACACACACTAAACCATGGGTTGATCCCCAGTACTGAAGGGACCAAACACTCACCCAGCCCCCTGCTTTAGCAACCATGACAAGCTACAGAAAAGACCTAACAAGATGTACGCCATTGACTCAGCACATGTTGCTGAGTTTCCATTCTCCTTACCTTGCAGGAACTGCCCTAGTCACTAGGATGTCAGATTCTCTCCACATAACAAGGAACCAATCAGAAGTTAGCTGGTGGGCTCTGGACTTGCTTTACAATAAAAGTGATGTGATAGTGACATGCAGAGCATAGCAACCGTCCTGGGAGGGCCTATAAGCCATAACAACCAGCTGACCAATCAACACAGGATAGGTTGCCCAAGCCTGGAAGCGCACCAATCCTGAGACAAGCTTCTTGCATGCACCAATAAATTCCGGGCCTTCTCATGCCAGCTGCCATGTTGGATGGACAAGGGAACCCAGTTAAGGCAGTTAACTCATTAAATAAACAAAAGAGACTTTGCTTTTGCATTGGAATGGGTGTCTTGGTGATTTGGGGGTTCAGTGATTTGGGCACAACAGTACCACATAAACCAATTGTGGTGTAAGGATGGAAAAATTTAGCCTAACTCTCCCTAGACTCTGCCCCCTAGCAGTGAGTAGGCAAAAGGTCACATTCTTGACTGTTTACCAGGGCTGTTTACGACAGCACCTGTGAGTGAGTGAACACAGGAAATGAGCCTTGTCACACCACCCAGAAGCCCTAGCAAAAGTAGACTTTCTGGGCTAAGTGCGGGCTTGGATAGTTCAAATTGATTGGTCCGCACTGGATGCTATGAGATGGTTTATGATGCGCGGGCTTTGTTGTAACCCTATAAAAGCTATCTAAACCCTGTACCCAGGGTTCCCAGTCCTCTACCCCATGTGGAGTATGGCTGTGGACCCCAGTACACTGGAATATAAAAGACCTCATGCTTCTGCATCAAGACCCGCTTCTCGTGAGTGATTTGGGGGGGGGGGCGCCTTTCCTGAGTCGGGGTGTGAGGGTCCACGCCCTCTGAGGGTCTTTCAGTGTTAGCTCATGGGAGGTAAGTCAGGAGATTCAGAAGTTCAAGGTCATCCTTGGCTTCAGAGTAGGTTTGGGGTCAGCGTGAATTACATGAAATACTGGAAGGAGGAGGATGGAGCTGGGTATGGTGGCTCATGCCTGAAACCCATCACTTAGCAAGTGGAGTCAGGAAGCTTGGGCTACATTAGAAGACCCTGATTCAAAAAACATACAAGATGGACTTTAATTATCACATGAATTAAAGCTAGTGTGTTCATTTAAAACAAGATCTCTTGTAGCCTAGGATAGCCCCACACTCAAGGCAAACTTCCTGCCTCAGTCTCTCAAGGACTGGGATTCTAGGAACGAGCAACCAGGCTCTGATTTATTTATTTGAGTATTTTGCTGGGCAGGGCAGAGAGAGGTAGGTCTGTGTTGTAGACAGAAGAACTGAAAAAGCATATTGAAGAGCAGAAGGTCCTTCCAATTTAATGTCCCCATGAGGCAGGGCAAACTAGGAAGCATAGCAGGAAAGTAGAACATACAGAATGAAAGAGGTTTAAAAGCCCCAAGGCAAAACATAAAGAGAAACAGGATAAATTAAATTATAAGAGCTAGTGGGACAAGCCTAAGCTAAGGCCGAACAGTCCTAATTACTAAGTCTCCACATCTTTATTTGGGAGCTGGTTGGCAGCCTGAAGAGAAGGCCAGCTACAGGGAGCAATGGAAGACTAACAGAGTGGCTACGGTATGCTTTCTTCAGGTTCCTTTTTACGGGAGTTAGAGGACTAAAGAATATAGAATTATTACAGAGTGAGTTCCAGGACAGGCTTAAAAGCAATACAGAGAAACCCTGTCTCGAAAAACAAACAAACAAACAAAAAAAAAAAAAAAAAAAAAAAAAAAAAAAAAAGAAAGAAAGAAAGAAAAAAGAAAAGAAAAGAAAAGAAAAGCAGAAGGAAGTTCATTGCAATACCAACAGAACTTGCCTGTTAAGGAACCTTGGCTGTTTCTCTGGGTTCCTAAGTGTTGAGCGCTATCGCCTTGCCTGCAAGAACGACGCTCAACAACAGGATTCTTCTGCAGCTATGTTTATTGCGCAGCTCATTACAGCAAGTTGAGGGAAGACCCCGAGGAGGAAAAAGGGCTCTGCTTATATAGAGGAGCTGTGTCCATTACTGACAGTTGCAGAGGAGCTGTGTCCATTGCTGACAGTTGCAGCCTGCAACAGTCCTAACGGTCACCCCATGACGTGGATCACACATCCGTGCCTTGCTGGCTTATGGACAGGAAACCGGTGCCATCTTCGGGAATGGCACCGGTGGCTCT